TACAGCATGGGCAAAGCTTCCTTCACCTCTCTCGTGGACCCTTCGATGTCGAAACGAGAGATTCCCTCGCATTTGTCCTTAAACTCTGAAACTGGCGAACTCAGAACCACGGGATCTATGTCTAGCTACGCCGATGGCTACATGGAGATCGTCGTCTCGGCGAATAATTCGGTGAAACTGGGCAGAGAGACGAATATCACTCTGAGAATATTTCTATTGCGTGACAGAGACATGTTGAAGTTCGTGTTCTCCAAGCCACCTGTTGAAGTCAGAAAGACACTGGAAGACTTTGAGAAAGCGGTGCAACACGCTCTGTCTCTCCCTATCAGCGTGAACGTTTACGACACTCAGTTCTACTCGAAGGAAGACAATTCTCTAGACTTCTCATCGACCAGTTCGTGCTTCCAAATGGTCGGAAAAGAGGCCTACGATTTGGACGAGATGAAGGCTCTTCTAACTGATCCTAAGAACGAAGAACTGAAGAAGGTCTACAGGACTTATCACGTAGAGAAAGTGCAACATTGTGCAGCCATGGTGGCTAGAGCTGACGCCTCGATGACGCAGATGTGGGTACTGGCAATTGCAGTCCTCGTTGGTATCGCCACTGTGATTTCGAGCTGTGCACTCTGCTGCATGCACGCCAAGTGAGTTTCTCTTTCTCTCTGATTCAAACGAACATCGTAGAAGGCTTGGAGATTAGGGACGAATGTAATTGGCCTGTACGGTGGCCTGTTTTCTTGGAATTAGACGCAATTATCCTGTATTATTCGCAATTAGAGTATTTCCCCGTCTGAAATTAGGCAAGATTTCAGGAGGAAATTATAGACGGCTTGGTGGCTTTTTTTCCAGGTACAAACGACAAGTGAAACACGCCCGTTTGCGTGATCAGCCTCGACCACCTCTGAGTTACGTCTCTTCCGGCCCCGGAATGGTCAGTGCCACGTCACATTTTTTCACACTTGGATCCAGGACGTAAAATTGTCGTCGAGACAGCGAATCAGGAGAGAAAATTGTAGATCACTGACTGAAGAACGCGAAGGTTTCGTTAATTTTGTATAGAAGGTACCTTCTGGAAGATTTTCCTTAGCCGAGAAACGAGATTGGTATTATTTCGATACTATGTTCGACGGATTTGCCATATTTGAGATTTTGGTAATTTATCTCTTCCAAGTGTCGAAGTGTGATAAGAAAGCGTAAGCGTTCACGAGAAGCTGGAAATTCTCCCAATCAAAATGCATGAACAATTACGAACGTCAATCAAAGATACAGTACAACTTAAATGTGTTCGTATAGCTGTTTCGTGTAGCGTCGAATTTTTTAATTTTTAAATTGTGCGATGTGAGCCGAAATTTGACGAGCCTTGAAAGAGCACAATGCCATCGAAGCCGGTGAATTTTACGAGTACTGGAGTGAAACGTTCAATGGTGTACTTTTCTCGGTGGTATTTAAACAGAGAATAGTTCGAAACACGTCAACGAAATTGTATTATAAGACACGAGATTTGTGAAACGAAGTCGACGAATGGTGCTATAATGTAAGATCGAGATGATCGTGCCAAAATCTAAAGGGACACGTGTAAAGTTACGATGCTTCCATAGTGTTAAGAGAACTAACTCGCGTGAATTGTATATTTCTTAGACTGTACACGAATCTTACTCACAACGTTCGCGGCATTGTTATAAAAATGCGCGTGCTCTATTGTAATATACGTAGTATTTAAGGATGAAGAATAAAAGCTGTACATTTGAGTTATGTTTATAAAAAAGAAATTCACTGTATCTTCTTTCGAATCCTAAATGGATACCGCTTGAAATCATCGATATTTATAACGCGATGAGTGAATTTTGACGATGGCATAATTTACACTGGAAGTTTCAAACATCCTACGTTCTCTTCATTATCTCCGCGACAAATAGGGAGATAGGGAGATGAAAAGGAGGATTAAAAGGTACACTTTACGGTCATGGAAAAGTTACTTAAGCGACGGTGCATCTTGTGTTCAGCTGAAGGTCCTCCGAGTATCATGGCGTCGAGTACCAATTTTGTAGACCACAGTCTCGTGGCCTATTAAGCAATCGCGCTTCGTTCGACCAATATCTCGCGATTGCACCAACGAAGATCTCGAGAGATTCTCGAACGCCCTCGACGAAAATGTCAAGGCGAGGTGGAGCTCCGCGGATAATTCGATCTGATGGAATAACCGACTGGGAAATACAAAGAAATCTCAAAGAGATTGTGGACTGTCCAGGTCAGGCAGCGTCTGTGATCGTTTAAATCGCGTAATTACAAATTGAAGTATATATTTGAAGAAAGAAAACGTCGAGGAAATGGAAGAAAATTGGAGTGAATTTTTGTCAATATTTATTCTTCTTTTTGGAAATGAAAAATTGCAATGAAAATGAAAGAATGAAAATGAAAATACGTGTTTTTTCAGCCTGTTTTAGCGACGCTGTCGCTGAATTGTTTGAACCCCTCCAATGTGTCGATATCCTTTGAAACGCTCGTGCTTCCAGTCTCGTTGACTTTCATCTCTTTCGAAACTATAGTAGTGCTACAGTCTTCACATTCGTTCTCCGTTGTGGTAGCTACGATTTTCTGAGCTTCGAAATCGTATTTTTCCGTGCTAGCGTAATCTTCCTCCAAGCTTGATTTGTGGTTAAATGGATCAGTGATGGAATCTTCCGGATTGTCATGCTGATTCGAACAATCAGTTTCTGGGTGAATTTTTTTTGCTTCGTCTTTGTTGTCCAAGAGAGTTTCTTGGTATCTGTTCGAAGCAAGATTGGGTTCTACTTCGTTATTCGTGAATTTTGATTGCTCCACAGCTAGGTGTTTAGCTATGGTTTCTAGAGGAGACCAGATTTTGTCCATGAACTTTTGCCGGTCCTCCGGGACCATAGACTCTGATCTGTGAATGATATCGTGCCTGGAAACGAAGGTTAAGCCTTGAGTACTACTTTTACGATGTTAAAGATTCAAGAGTAATTTTTCGTTCGAGGTCGTTAGGGGATAAATGGTACCTTTGCATTGCGACCTGTGTCGCTTCAAATTTTCAAAGTTTTAATTTTCAGATTTCACATTTCTAATTTTCAAATTTCAAATTTTAACGTGCCATACATTATAATAATTAAAAATCTTTAACTTTTCTACGAAACTTCCCGCGTTTCTTGCAACGTACGGTGACTCGAAACATCCTCAGCGTATTTATATCACGCAGAAGCGCACAGTAAATTACACTTCCTCGTTCACAGCCCTTCAAACGCATTATTACGCGTGTCAGGAGGCAATCACGCCGCGGTCGTTGAAGAAAATTTACGACGAGCCATCTTCGAACCTATCGCTCCTTAATACCTCGAATTTAGCGGATGACATTTCACGTGGCAGTCCTTAACGAGCCACCGGCGCGATCGATTTTTTCTTCACCGATCGACTTCGCATGTTCGATGAAAGTTCTCCACACAAGCTCTACAGATAAATCTACAGCGCGGAACGGAGGCACGAATGCCATTGTAACGATATTCCACGATTCATCCGCCGATATGCAACAGGAAACCGCGTTTCATCGATTACGAATAAATCTAGCCACGCTCGTGATACCGATCTTCCATCCTTACGTAATTGAAAACATGAAAGAAAGTGGCAGTCGTCGGTGAAGAAACGCAGAGATCGTGTGGGTGAGAAATTTGCATATGTAGAAATTTCTACGTAATCTCGAATTATTTATACATTTTATCTTTTGCAATATATCAAAATATGATATATGCATGCATCGATTATCTCGTATACAGAAGCCATTAGATTTCGAAAGGAGTAGAAAGTTTCAAATTTTAATCAGGATTAACGACCTTAGAGGAATTGATTTATGCACGTGAATACGCGTGATCTATCTTGAAATCTCACCTGCTCATTTTATTCTTCTTCCTGGGATACAGATTCAAATGGAATATCATCTGTTGCCTTTCCTCCTCGTCGCTCATCGCCTGATTAGACACTCCAGTCAACGGTTGCGGAGGTGGAACGTAAAATTTCGGTCCTCTCTGGAATTGAATCGGTCTTCTTAATTCGTAATCGTCCATGGGAACCTGTTTCGGTCTGTTCGGTTTTTTATTCTGTTCCATAATGTCGGTGATCGGATAAATGTCCAGCATGACGCTAAACGGCTGTGGTTTCCGCTTTTTTGAATAATTATTCGAGTAGGAAGCTTCGTATTGGGATTCCATCGAGGTCGGCTTGTAATAATTCGACGGTCGTCCGTAATTGTCGTAGTTGTATCTGTGAAGGCCTGTCGGTGAGAACCTGAGAAATGGTATATTTTATTTCACGAATTTCGAGAGAGTTATTATCGAAGGAGCGACGATAATAGAATGATAATATAGCGCATGAGAAGATTTAAGAGACTTAAATTCAAATTTGAAAGATTTAAATCTCTTAAATAATACACAGGCTGTTTCCGAACTGGCGGTACAAGCGGCAAGAGAGTGTCTCTACATGCGAAAATAAGTGGAAAAAAAAAGAATAACATTTTTTCCTATCGAGCTTCGTTCCCGAATGAATCAGCGTCGAAGATTTACCAAGTACGCGTATACTCGGTTATACCGTAGCCTAGTCCTCGTTGCGTTCGAAATCATAAACATCACCAATGTCGCGGCTTGTTATCATTTCTGTGCCAGACGTTCAGTCTTCGTCGTTTCGTCGATATGGCAGCATACGGTAATCGAGAGTACACCGGTATGATTTTCGCGTTGGGTGCTTGTGTTGTTTACTACATTGTGTTAATTACTACAAAGAACGCCATCCAAATCGCCGTCGTCCTGACAGAAGAACAACAGAAGTGCGACGCAGTGAGATTTGTACGCCGTAGACGTGAGATCGTGTGTAAGAGTGCGTGTACTCGGTAGATCTTCAACGCTGATTTATTCGGAAACGAAGCCCGATACGAAAAAGTGTTATTCCTTTTTTCCCACTTATTTTCGCATGTAGAGACACTCTTGCCGCTTGCACCACCAGTTCGCAAACACTCTGTATATTATTTAAGAGATTTAAATCTTGAAGAATTTTAATCGTTTCATGTTTTCGAGACTTTTCGAAGTAATTTTTCTGCAAACCTGACGTTAGACGTAGCCAACAAATTCACATCCGCCGGATGTTTCGGTTTATATTGATAAAACGGATCCTCGTTGTACATATAAGGGGAACTTTCATCTTCGTCCGACCTATCGCTGTTAGACATCATCTCCCCTATATCAGGATACAAATCGTACTTTTTCGGGTTCACATACACACCGGTGAACTTGATCCCTTTATTCGGTAGTTCAGCGTCATTCGTCAAATATTTTATGATATCCTGAATGTTCCTGGACGCCTGTGGATATCTGTATTGCGACAACTGGGGATATCTCGGACGTTTGAAAGACGTGGGTTGAGGTGTTTTCAATTCCCAATGAAAAGGAGTCGGTCGACTCTCTTCTGAACTCTCATCTTCCCCCGAATCAGGATGCTTATGCCTGTTTTTACAAAAATTTTAAACGAATCTTATTTCTCATCTCTCGACCTTCCCTCGAAAATCAATCACTCCGTGTTTGTTCAAAATTCGAAATTTATTTATCACCGATGAATTCTCGCGTCGATGTTTCGAAAAATGTTTACCAAATAATCACGGAAACGACACGTAATAGAGCCGTGACGGAGGTGAAAAAGATCGTTACTGAAGAGTAGAAAGTGCTGTTCGACAATTTACATACTGTAGGTCGTAACGTTGATTTATTATCGGTTCGAGGCACGAGCAGCCGACACAATATATATGTATATATACCGATACAACGAAACTAACGACAATAGGTCTGTGTGAAGTTCCAGGACACGCGTCTCGCGTGTCCGAGAAACCTCGTTAACTTTTAAACGAAGGAAACATTTGACGATTATAATTAATCAGCGGATGCTTAAGAACGGTTACCGATATTGCAAAAAGCGTTGCGCAAGGGTATATTAAACACCGTTGAATATGCACAAGTGACTTCCTTTTATCGTTCTCGTAAAAAGATTCGCCTGTTCCTTATTGCAAGGTCGTCTTATAATCGCAGGATCCCACGCGTTGCAAGAAGCCCGATTATACGGTAAATCATTTTTATGTTTACTTGCTAATGCGGTTTTGGTAACGTTGTCAATTAGGCTTACGAGTATGATAGATTTCTAATATTATATATTAACGTTCACGTTCGAAGAATCACGCGAATTTTTAGAGCTCAGCGCCGATAATTGCAAATATACACCCAAAAGTGGGTAAAATTTGGGAATCTTTTCACAAGAAACTGCTAAATAAAAATCTTCAATTTTTTCAGAGGATATAACTGTAACTTTCACCTTTCTCCCCCAATTTTCACAAAGCGAAAATAGGACAAACGTGTCCCCCACCGTCAAATAGAAAAATCCTCGAAAACAGCTGTTGCAGCGAATGTTGCAAGTGCATGCTAAGAAAATAAAGCACTCTAATTCTCAAAAATAGCAAATGTGTCGAGAGTATCGTGAACTTGGGACAATCTGTTGCCGCAACGATACCAGATCCCTTTTGTTCCCCCTAAAACTGATTATCATTGCTACAGAAAATACAGCAGAAAAGAGTGTGTTACCTTTGTCTCACACGATAAACGAGCGCGTGGTTGTCAAACAACTGTTTCCCTTCCGCTCCCTCCTCCGCCTTATTTTCCACGGATTTCAGCACTCTTTTCCTCAGCTTGAAATTATTAAGGTTCTGCGACCTGAGCTCGGCGTCTGTTACTTTCTGATTGCCTGTTTCGTCGTAGGGAAACGGATTCCCATAGTCCTCGTTGTCTGAACGATCTTGAATGTAAATGGAGCTGGTTCTATTCACTTCTGGCGAAACAGTGGTTGAGTTCGCGGCGAACTTTTTCGTGAAGTTCGATGATTTCTTAAGAGCGTTTTGCAAGATGTATATATGCTTCGTTTCCTGGTTCAGTTTGCTGTTCACCGACGAGGCGGATGTGAAATCGTATAAAAATATCGCGACCTATAAAGAAACGAAAAAGCGATAGAACAGAAATTTTCGATTTTTCTACTTTTGCACAAGCGGTACGCACGCTGGAAAGTTGGAAAAATTAGCATAACAAACGAGGCGGTTCGGTAATTCGTATCGAATGGTTGCACAGTTGCACAAAAAAAAAAAAGGAAAAAAAGAAAATTGACCGATCGTTCGTTCGTTTAATTAAAAGCTCGAGCGAACACACCTGTTTCCCGCGGGCAAGCGCGTTAATTCGTGTCAAAACACAGTTAACGCCCTATATGTGAAGCACGTAGAAATCTTCTTTTGACGCTTGGCTCGCCATGCATGCGAGCCCCTTCAGCGTCCAGATTCGAGCGAGTGAAATTGTGATTTTTAACATTTGCTACCGTGCCTGTTACATTAATCATGGGAGAAAAGCCGCGGGATGTAATTGCGTCCCATTGTTCTCCACAATGGCGACTCATTAAGAAACGGAGCGATAAAGAACTTTACTTTTAACGAAACACTTGTCACTATGAACCTGAACGTTTAGACCCATTTTTCTTCGCCGATCTTTATCGTCGGTAATCGATCCCTTTCGTCCTAATCAGTTAT